GAAAAGTATTGACTGAAATACCTCTTGATTAAGCTTTATTGGATCCTCAAATAAGAAGATTGCTTAGGTACTTTTTGGCTACCTTTTACACTACAGAATACCTCACCAATCTAAAGAAATACAAAGATATAGAGGGAGAGAATTTTTGAGCTATATGAGACTTCTTAGACCAATTTTTTCTGACCTCGAGAGAAGTGCACGAGTCTACTATTTATAGACATCAAAACTGACCAGAATGGCCCATTCCAGTGTTGGAATAGCCCATTCTGGATCAGTTTGTTAAGAGTAAAATTTGAATCCATAACAATCTATTTTGGTGTTAGAATAGCCCATTCTGAATTTGAATTTAACTCATAATAACCTGTGTTGGAATGGCTCGTTCCTAACTAAGGTTTCTAGGCCTTTTTAGTAGTTTAGAACGGCTCGTTCTAGATTGGGAATAACTTGTTTTGGGCTACTAAATCACCCTTATTGGGTTTCGGGCCTTCTGATGTCATATTGTGTCGTTTCTAGGCTATCGGGAGCTCATTTTCTTCATAATAGAAGTCCATTTCTTTGTTTGCAAGTCCAGACGAAATTAGGTGTCTACATGGGGTTAGTACATTATGCATATATGTTGATAACAAATTCACCATGTCATGATTACTACGATCCATCTGTTGTCGAAGGGTTATCATGTCTTGATTGCTTATACCCGTAGGTACATAACTACTTTGTCAGACTAAAGACCCCTCTTGGCTCATGCCTTTGTTGGTGTCGGAACCCGAAAGATTCTGATCTTACCCATAGATGGTTTAGACTTCTTTTTGAAAATTTTCATTATTCGAGGAATGCCCAGAAACCAAACCAATCCCTAATTAATGATTTTGAAAAATAGTTTGTAGGAGTCGTCACCGATGTTTTACTCAAAACATCAAAAAAAGAGAAGGGTTTTTGAAAAATGTCAACTTGGCCTTTATAACTAAAATTGGGCTCGAGGGTTGGTTACGTGTAGGGAAGGTATTAAAACCCTAAATCGGTACCCTTATGATGAAACTAGTGCAATAGAGAATAATGGTTTAAATATTTGGTTCCCTTTATTAATGGTTATTTACATGCTTAAACTTAGATTACGTGATTTACCTTAAGACGTCTACATGGTTGCTTTTATTAGTTATAATAATATTTTACAATAAAAGAAGTAGAGGATAGAGGAGAAGATTTGCGGAAATACCTCTTGTGCGGGCTTTTATAAAGTATTCTTCAAATGTGGACTACTTGAGGCACTTTTTGGCTACCTTCCACACCTACAATATACCTCACTACTCTCAAGAAATACAAGAAGAGGGAGAAAGAGAATTTACAAGCTATCTAGGACTCTAGTAAGCAATTTTTTTTCTAGTCCTAGGAGTAGCGCCCGACTTTGGTATTTATAGACGTTAGGGCTAACTTGAACGGCCCGTTCTGGTTTTGAAATGACCCATTCTAGATCAGTTTGTTAAGGAAAAAATTTTAATCGGGAACGACCCGTTATGGAATCGGAATGGCCTGTTCTGGATTTGAATTTTACCTTTAACAACTTTTGTTGTAACGGCCAATTCTAGACTCGTGCTAAAGTTCATTTCTTTGTTTGCATGTCCTAGATGAAATTAGGTGTCTACAATTGGTAAGGGTCTTGCATAATAAAACCTATTTTGTTTCGGGTCGCATTATACCCATAAGGTGAGATATGCATTTGAGGATTTGGCACATGGTAAGGTACTGGCATTTCTACGCTCACAGGTTGGGTAGTCCTCCAGTTAGGAGGCATTCGCCATGGGTATTCTCGAGTGGCGTTCATGAGTTCTTGTAATGCATTAGTCAATCCTACAATATTAGCGACATTTATACGAGGCGGAGATGTTGCCCCATAGAACTACTATGAAACTGGTGTTTAACATTGCTATATCTATATCGATTCTAGTAAAAATGATGTAAATCATAAACACGGCTGCAATATTGTAAATAAATAGAAAATGCAAACATATTTACATCAGTTGGGTAGAGAAACAATGTAAATATGAACAATTCTACATTGGTTTAATTATTGAGCAATGTAGAAATGAAATTAGGAAGTTGTTCTTCATCGGGTTTGCTTTTGACCAATGTAGAAGTTAGACCCAAATATCTCCCCTCGTGAACACCCATGGAAAGCATACCCTTTCAACAATGTTCCCAGCCCACCGCGAGCAACGACGGAAAGCAATCCCCCTTGACAAAGTTCTCAGCCCTCTTCTCTTCTTTTCTTTCGCACACTCTTCTTAGCATTTTGCAAGAAGATGAAATTTTCAGACAGGATAATATAGCTTCTCATTCTACTAGTGAAAAAATCTAGGGTTTTAGACTCTTCCTTCAGCTTATTTTTTGTGAGTTGATTCTTTCTGTTTCTTTTGTTCTTTGATTTGTTTTTTCTGGTTGAAGGAAAAGCCACTGCGAATGCGGTGCTTTCCGTGAGAGCTCATCGCTTTTGATTTCAATATCACCTATCAATAATTTAAGTTAGAGCTTCTTCGGTTAGCCCATGCTTGTGTCTTATATTATTGTATTTTGGGGTCTATTGCGTTTTAGGGTTTTATGCAATTTCAATGTGAAGATTCTGTTTTATCTGTTCCTTGCTCTATTTCGGCAATTGATGTTGTATAATTGATTCTCTATGGAATTTTGTTGCTAGCGTGAGAATATCCGCCTGATTCATTTCATAGTTGAAGTCTCTAAGTTTAAAAATAGATTTTAATCAAAAGATAAACTTATGTAGAAGCATGCATAGTCTCACACACACACATTATGCTTTCATAGTTGAATAATTTAGAAAATGCTTTCAGATCACCCCATTAGGGTTGTTACTACTAGTGACTGAGTTTCTGTTGAAATGTGGTTGAGTTGTGTCTTTGAACTTCCAATTTGTTTTCTTTTTTATGGTTTATCGTTGAATGGGGCAAAACATGTTTGTGCTTGTTTGCTTTCTGGGGGAGAAGTGATGCAAATGTTGGAAGCTCTTTAGTAAATTGAAAGTTATGGCGAAAATTTCAGATTTTTTTAGGCCTTTTTTCTCCGGTTAATGGCTCAGAAATTGTTGGAGATTGATGGAAATGGAAACTTTCAAGTTGTAGTTTTTTTTACTTGATTTTCTTTGTCTTACTTTTGATAAGCTGACTATTCTACTAGAAAAAAATAGATATTTTAAGATTTTTTTTTCTGGTTTAGCTTCAAATGTTGATTGTAATTTATTTGGGTCTTTGATTGTATTTTTTTCTTTCAATATTAGTCTGTTATTGACTCTATGGAGTGTAGATGTTTGGTTGTTTTGATAATGTGCTTTCATGAGCCAATCAACTGTAGAGGAATTTGTAGCCTATTCAGGGAATGTAAACTGTTTAAAAATTGGAAGGAAGGCTAGACACCTTTTAGTTACAAGAGGGGATAATCACAATGTCAATCTATGGATGATTAGGAAACCAACTTCTTTAATGGTCAATTGATTGTTGCCTTTTTATTTTAGCATTTTGGTTGTGATATGACTAAGGCATGATTGTTAGGCTGTAATGAAAGGTCCATTTCTTATGTGCACTTTGTTGCAATTTATATTGTTATAATGTTTGCGACTCAAGGATTTATGTTGTTGCGTGAGGAGTTCTCTATTTTGGAGATAATCTATGTCAATTATATTTCTGCTATGTATAATTTATCCTTCAATTTTTTATTATGACCTCTGCAATGTATGACCCATAATCGTGTTGCTCCTTTATATTCATGCTTTAAGCACAAAAAATGTCAATGGTTGTAATTCTGATTATGATGGAAATGGTCTCTCCTTGGAAGTTTCTGCCATATATCTTGCCATGAAAAACTCAAAGTTGTGCATCGTATTTATGTCAATATTTAAGTTGCATGCCTAATTGATAAGATATATGTCAATATTTAAGTTGCATGCCTAATTGATAAGCTGTGCATCGGATTTTTTTTTAAAGTATAGATAAATGGATGGTCTCTCTACTGCAACATCTCCCTGTTCACGTCTCCTTTGATGTCTTCCATTTCATGTCCTTTTCCCCACTTTTTTTGGACTTGTCATTAATTTACCGTTGACAAATTTTCTTTTTTTAGTTTTATCTTTCTAATTTTACTTATGACATTTTACCAATGTGTATTTTTTTACTACAACATTTTACTGATGTGTTGGGCAATTCCTTTTCTAATTTCACTTAATTTACATCGATTTTGCTGACAACTGATCTACATCGGTTGTTAGCAAAATCGATGTAGATTTTGCACAAATCTACATTAGTTTTAAAATTGATCTACAAGTGCATGTATTTCTAAGTCGCCATATTCTACATCGATTTTAGAACCGATGTAGATTACATCACAGAACCGATGTAGATAATACATCCTGTAGTAGTGTAGTTATACTTACCACTACATTTTCCTAATTGGGGTTCCTATTTTCTACATTTCCTTGTTCTTCATTGTTTACATTTACTCTACTAAATGTAGACATTGTTCTTCCACTCCTAAGTGTCATAAAACATACTTAAAACTAGTTCAATTATGCTTAAATTAGGACAAACAAGTCCCACCGGGCATGCTAATTTGTTTCTGGGGAAAACCATTTATAGGCCCTTTTTATTTAAACTAGCCGTTTTCAATTTAAGTACATGTCGTGAATAAGGTGGGAATTAAACGAGAAGACTAAGTAGAACTATATTAACATGGGATTCAAATAGTTCATACTCTGAACTAGCATAAATCTTCAAAAATGAGCTATGTGCATGTAAAACACAAAAGACACATGAAAACATATACGATATTAGTCAAAGTCCCATTTTACAACCAAGAGTTCATTGATTGTTACCACAAAACAAGTTTCGTGCATATAGACATTAAAATGAATTGAGTGAACAACATATATATTAATTACAAAAATCATATCCTTTAGTTTCAATAATGGTGAAATTACAATACGCAAGGATTATTAAGAGTGACAAAAATATTACATTACATTACACTATACTAAACTAAGCTAGCATAAAACTAAGAGAGAAAGAAAAGAAAAAAGAGTGTCTAGGAAATCATACTCAGTAGTCTCGTACACGAGAGCCATATATGCGGGCAGTAAATGTTTGTGAGAGTTCATAAGCATGATTTTTGACCTCTAAAACTGAGTCTGGCCACACTACTACAAGACATGTTTTCTATATCGGTTCTCTAAAACCATCTACATCGGTTCTAAAACATATGTAGAATAGAGCGACGTAAAAAATATATAGATTTTTACATCAGTTCTGAGAACCGATGTAAATTTGTATTTTTTTGTTGAAAAAAATTGTTTATTTATAGGTTTTTCTTATTTAATCTATAAACACATATAATTCCCAAACCTGCAATACAATTATTTTTCTCAACAAATTGAAACATCATTTCTTACTTATGTACACGTAAAACAATGTGTAGCTAGAAATTAGCTCACTGCTTAAGATGGATAAATAGACCCACATATAACTCTTAATCTTCTCGTACCCATCCAGACCTTCTTTTCGTGGCTTTACTAGTGAAGGGACAACATGATAGAGTACCTGCAAATGAATATCTTGTATAAATGCAGTTCATATATAGAAGGCCAAAACATGAAAAAAGAAATCAAACATACAATTTATAAAAGATTTATTTTCTAACATAATCTAATGTACAGAGAGCAACTTTTCCAAAGACCTACTTTGTTTTTAAAGAGGAACACCGGTGGCTTCCTATGTATCATACTTTTATGGGGATGATAGATTAGTAACACGCATGCAAAAAGATCAAAGAACACCGTTGGCTTCCTATTTGACATCCTTTGGCCTTCAAAGTAACAGAAAGTAAACTTTTGTATCAAATATCTGTCCAACAATCTCAATATACCTGCATAATAATGGACGCGATCAACAAAACAAAACAAAGAAAATTAAATGCTATCAAATATCTGTCCCGAACCAAAACGATTCACCTTCATTTTCCACAAGCAATATCCAGATGACTAAACTCAGTACATAACAAAACAAAAGTAATACTAAAAAAGAAGAAAATTAAAAGGCCAAATATGAAACAAAAATACGAGGAAAAATAGGAAAATTAAGATCGGAACCTTGATCACTAGAGCATATTCCATAGCTAACGAAGCGCAAGCGATGAACGACGAAGGGAAACGTAAGTTAACCGACAGAGCAAACAAAACGAGTTTCATCTCACTTTTGGAACCTCCTCCTTGGCGCTCAGCACCAGCACGACGATCCCAATCGCCAGGAACGCGACGTTCCACAGCACGTCCATTGCCACCACTGGCGCCGAGTATGCCCAGTCGCTTTGTCGCCCCTCGACCTCTACCTCCCGCACGCACACCAACGGCTCCTGCAACAACATGCGCCGCCTGCTCGCGCGCCAGAAGAATCGTGCCGCAATGCGCAGCGGTGGCGACGCGTGGCGGCTTCGGTGGAGGAACGACGTTGTGGGAGGTTTGAGTTTTACATTTGGTGAATCTCGGAATTGGGATCTTTGAATGAATGGTTTTGATTAGGGTTCTTCAAGGAGAGACGACTCTCGCGTGGGTTTGCAAATGCTTCACAATACTACATCGGTCGGTTACTGAACCGATGTAGATATATTTATAATTATTTACCAAAATGTCACTATATATTCAATACTACATCGGTCCCACTAAAAATGATGTAGAAAATTAAATATTTGCATCTATCTTAGCCATAACCGATGTAAATATGCTTTATATTATATACTTATTTACAAAAATGTCACCGCATTTGATTTCTACATCAGTTTTACCTAAACAATGTAGAATTGACGACGTTAAATAATAACTTTCTAGTAGTGACACCTGTCTATTTATAGAAAGGCCAAGATAGCAGTTAGATTCATCATGTCATTAGTAATCATCTCATTCTTTGGATTGTGTGTTATCTTTCCAACTGCCTCTGGCTTCCTCAATAATCATCTTTCGATCATCGATCACTTCCTTAAAATGCATAATCATTATTTTTCGAGAAGTGGTTACTATATGTGGGTTCCACGTGAATTATAATTGTCCTGTCATTTATGTTATGTGGATAACCTCTTTTAAACCATTTGAGACTACTATGTGACTATTTATTTGAGTATTAAAATCTTTCTTTTTAGGCTTGAGAACTGTACTCATAATATTTTACTCATTCATTGTTTTATGTCATAGGTGTGTCTTGTCAGTGATTGATTGAGAACTAATCCCTTTGGATCATCGAATATTTCTGCTCCAAAATTTTATGCCTAACACTTCCATAGGAAAAAGCTTTTTATATTTGATAGATTGATAAAAGATAATAAAAGTATATAAGTGTTCTATTTATAGAGTTTTTTTAATTAGCACTAAAACTGTTCGTAACAGACTAATATTCTTAACATGCACACCCAATTGTATTCTATATTCTAACTACCAAACACGCTAATTAAAGAAGACAAGCTGAAAGGAGTAAAAGAAGCAAAAGTAAAAGTAAATCAAAAGAAAAAAAATCAGCAAAACAATAAATTAAAAAAGGGCATGTTGCATCCTTTTGCTTTCTCCAACTGTCATAATTTTTTTCTGAACAATGTTATTCGATACGACTTACCTTTATGAAAGGTATGAGGAATGACTTGTTAATCAATTAAGAGAAGAGCTAGCATACAAGAGAGCAGAGAAATGATAGTTTTTAGAAAGAAATTTTCCAAATATCGCAAATTCTTTCGGTGCAAAATTTAGGTGACAAATGCATCTTTATGACGTTACATATTTTATTTTTCTTCTTGTAATCTTTTTTATTCATAGAAATAAAAATTGGTGTCAAAAAAGTTTATAATACTAATATACAAATTTTGTTTAATCGACCAAGTTAAATTTCATTAATTTTGATTTTTTATTTTTGAGTGAAATGAAGTTTAACATAATTTTATAAATTTAATTTGTAAAATGAAGATTGATCTGGATTGAATATATATATAAGTGGAACAATTTGATATCGAATTGAATATGTTTAATAATAATTAATAATTATTAGAATAGACATTATTTTTATGTTAAGAAAATGAATTGAAATCTAAGTTAATTTTATAAAATTGATTTGTAAAGAAAAATTATTTCTCATTTATATATTTTAATTTGATTATATTATTAATTGATGTGAAATCTTTAATATTTATATTTTTTATTTAACTAATAATATTAATCCAATTTACGGTCGTCACATATACTAGTAGTGGCATTTTGGCTTGAAATTGGTGCATTAATTAATGAGATACTCTCCTATTTTTTGGAGTACGTAGCAACTTACGAAGTCCAAAAGCATGAGAAGAGTAAATGATTGCTATTCACGAGAGGAGAGTGAGATGAAAGGGACAGAAAATGAAAGAAAGGGAGAAACTGCACAATTTGGTGTGAGAAAAAGAAAGGCTATTCAAGGCTGCCACGGAAAAAGAGCAGTGTTGGAGTAAACAGCAACATCTTTAACTAACAAGGAACATTTCCTTAATTTATTAGAGGGTATATGTTTGTGGATTTTGATTTTCTTAGAGGAAAAGAAGATGCTTTGGCTATTAATTTGGTTTACATATATACTTCATTAATGTCCTCAAATTCTTTGAGAAGTGATTTCATACTTTACAATTATTATAATTTAGTGTATGATTGAATGTGGAAGCTTGAAGGCTGTTCCCTTTCTCACTAACTCGGCCGGTTCAAAAGAATTTTTAACGAAATTTAGTTTAAGACCGATGTATTTTAGGGACTGTTCTTACCGGAAATCTGCTGTAGAGCTGATCCGTCAGGTAAGATCGGTGAGCCTCCTTCACTGGTACGTTGGTGCTCCAAGATGGGGGTGGTACCTGCAAAAGAGACTCCAATGCTAAAGTTAGTGTTTGTGGGAGTATGAATCTCGTATAAGTAATGCACGTACCTAAGTGTGAATTAGGGTTGCTTTGGGCCTTGGGCCTGAGATAAGATATGATAAGATTAGATAGTGGATCTCGTCTGGAGCGAGATCCCTTGAGACCGGTTATGATCTGCTTAAATGCCGAGCTGACGTCGCGTAGCACGTGCCCGAGGTCATCTTGCGTTATGATGTCGAGCTCGGAGCTCGGCTTCGCAGTACGAACAGTACACTAGCCCCCCGAGCTCCGAAGACCGTATGTCGAGGAGTTAAAATCGAGCTCGCTAGAGGGGAGTGACCTTTCGCGTACGTTGGCCTGTCAAGGTGCCATGTGTCGTAACTGTCGTTCCTCATTTCGGTAACCGAGGTCGGCGCGTTAATGGGCGTGACGGTTATGTGATGATGGCCTTATTTAATGCGTGATCAGGTGTGTCCCCTGGTTGACACGTGTTGTGGCCATTTGGATTTGGAAAAAACCCCTTTTTCTCTCACTCGCGCCTCTTCACCTTTCACTTTACTCTTTTCGCTTTCTTTCTCCCTTGGCTTCTTGCGCAAGCTGCTTTTTGTGCACCTTTGCTTTCGTCCGGTCTCCGTCGCTATTTTCGCAGTTTCCGTCGCCGTTTCCGGTAACCCCGTCGTTATTAGGGTTGTTTTGTGAGGAAGAGTACCAGGTACTTCCTTTCTACAGTTTTCTTTTAATCTTCCTCCCCAGATCTTCTTTTTCTTCTTCCCAAATCTTCTTTTCTTTAATGGCTGGTGGAAGTGGTGCCGGTTCTTCTGCGCCTGCCAGGGGCAAGGCGCGCAGCAAGGCGACGGCTACCGGGAAAGCCACTGCCGAGAAGAAGGACCCGCCTCCGCCCAAGGACCTGGAGCCAGGCGTCCCTGACTACGACTGGGTCAGGCGTGAGATGGCGGGGGTCCAGAGCGTTTTTCGGTCCTTTCTTGAGGTTAATGGGATCCCAAGGTCATGTAGGGTTTGCGACCCTTCCATTTCCTGGATGATCTGGCTTGAACCCTGTCAGGCCGGTGAGGGCGTGTACATGGGGAGGTCTTCCGACCCTCCCCATTTCTATATGTACCATTGTTTTTTTAGGGATTTAAGTGTCTGTCTTCCCTTCACTCAATTCGAGTGTGATTTTTTGAATTTTGTCAACTTGGCTCCTTGCCAGTTGCACCCCAATAGTTGGGGTTTTTTGAGGGCTTTTCAAGTCCTGTGTACAGTTTTGGGGATAGAGGTGTCTCTTCCCATCTTCCTTTATTTTTACCAGTTGAACTTAGGCGTTCCGCCATACGGCATATTATCTCTGAGTGGGAGTAGGGATGGGGGTTTGTTTACTCTCTACTCCCAGTCGTACAAAAATTTCAAACAAGAGTTTTTCCGAGTCGCTCTTGTGAACGTCGACCCCTTGGAGGATGGCGCGTTCTACTTCGGCGGTCTGCCGAAATTTCCCTTCTATTGGTTCCCCCGACCGTCTAGGTTTCACGGGGTGGGCCAAGTGAAGCTGACGGTTTCGGAGGCGGCCGCCATCGAGAACCTCGCCGCGCTTCCTCGTCAGTTGGATTGCAAGCTTGTTCTGTCGCTTGCGAACTCGGCGTACAGGGAGAGGGGCTTGGAGAGTGAGTATTTTGTTTTTTGGTGGTTTGTTGGAGTTTGTGTAAATTCTACTTGTTGATGTGTTTTATTTCGTGTATGCAGGTATCATGGGGAAGAACTTGTGGCGTGAGCTAAAGCATCGCTATAATGTTACCGAGCTCGAGGTCCCCGAGCCTCGAGAGGAAGATGCTTCCCCTCTGAAAGTTAATCGAAAGAGAAAGAGGGGAGCAAAGGAGGTCAGGGGGACCTCTGCCCCTCCGGATGCCGAGGAGGTGACCTCCAAGGCTGCTGACGTTGGTGCGGTGGACCTTACCGAGAGTCCACCGCCCAAGGGGGCTCCTCAGGTGGCCTCGGAGGAGATGGCTCAGGCTGCCGAGCAGGCTGCTCACTCTGCCGAGGTGGTGAGTACCTTGTCTCTTCGGCTTTTTTATGTTTTCTACTGTGCTTTTTTGTGTTCTGACCTAGGGCCGTCTTCCGCAGGCAGGAGATGCTGCCAAGGTGGTGACTCCAGCTGCCGAGCAGGCTGCCCCTGCTGCTAAGGTAAGTAGTGTTCCCTGATATTCATGATTTCCTACGTCTTGTCCTATTTATTTTTTGACATGGCGCTGGTTTTCGCAAGCGAGGTCGGAGGTTCCTATTGTGGACCTTCCAGATACGAAGCAGGGGACACTGGTTTCCACCTCTGTCGAGGCTCGTGGCGAAGGGTCGAGTCTCGAGGTCCCCATGTCCACCCTCGCAGCTTCGGTGCCGCTGTCTGGCTCGTCGCAGGGGGCTTCCCGGAGCTGATACATAGCCCACCGCTTCGGGAAGGGCCTTTCAAAGGTGCGGTTGGATCATGTGAGCGCCTTGGCCAATATGGACTCGCTGTGGAGCGCGGGGGTGACTGCCGAGAAGTTCTTCCCTCAAGGCTCGCTGAGCTCCGAGGACCAGGGGCTGATAGACGAGGTCGGTCCCGAGGATGGTTTTGACGCTGCCCAGGTCCTTTTGCAGAGGGCTATGGCCATTGTGGGCCACTAGAAGCCCTAGTGGTCGAAACAGCAGGAGGACTTAGCCAGACTGAGGGGCCGAGTTCAA